TGTCACTCAAAATGTAAATGGAATGTTCTGGAGTAGAATTTTTCCCCAAAGTACAGCCTAACACAACCTAATAGTCATCCCTTCATGCTTAACTTTCACAGAATAACCACAAAGAGCATCAATTTTTGCAAACATATTCGAGGACATCACTAATTTTCTCAAGAACTTCACTTAATCCTTTGCTAATCAGATCACTGTGTTGGAAAGTTCTTCTCAGGGTCATCATCCACATCCATTTTCTCTCCTTCACTTTTTATGTTGTCTTAGTCTACCAAGTCTTCATTTGTCCATAGCTTTGCATTGATTCTAGAAGGTCCCCAACATCACCTTCATACATTTGATACAATGCTGTATATTTTGCAAGATTTCAGATTTCCTATTGAAATTGAGGTACAGTTGGTCGAGCACAATGGCTCATGCCTGTAATCCCAGCACTTTAGGAGGCCAAGGTAGGCAAATCATGAGGTCAGGAGTTCGAGACCAGCCTGGACAATATGGTGAAACCCCGTCTCTACTAAAAACACAAAAAAATTAGCCGGGCTTGGTGGCACGCACCTGTAGTCCCAGCTACTCAGGAGGCTGAGACAGAAGAATTGCTTGAACCCAGGAGCTGGAGGTTGCAGTAAGCCGAGATCGTGCCATTGCACTCCAGCCTGGGTGACAGAGTGAGATTCCATCTCAAAAAAAAGAAAAATGAGCTACAGTTTTATTTGTATTGTTGGACCAAATATTCTAACACTAGCTGCTAGTGCATTATGAGTGAGGTAGAATAAGTGTTAAGTGGGAAAGAAAATTTGAGTTAAGAATAATTTTTATAAGTAAACATTCCGTTAGTGAAGATTTTCTAGTTTTAATGATTTTTTTTCTTCCTGTATCCAAAGCGCTGGAATAATAGAGACAACCCCTATCCTCCCCTCATAAATTAATGGTGGTTTCCAGAGACAAAGCTTCCGCATCTTTTGTTCAAACCTTTAGTGATTTGTGTGGAAGACATTTCGTCACAGAGACAAAGATCCTGACTCCTGGAAGAAATATTTTTTATTCAGCTCCAACTGCATAAACTCCAGATGCCATAGACTCATCTTAAATTCTCAATATGCAATTTCATGTTCATTGGCTGTCTTCATTTGGGTTCCCCCAGAAGTAGATTTAGAGACAAGAATTCAATTGCAAGTAATTTGTTTTTGTTTTTTGTTTTTGTTTTTGTTTTAAGAGACAATCCTAGAAAGTACTGCTAGAGGTGGGAAAGTGAGATGGGGAGAAAAGAAAGTCAATAAAGGGTGTTTTATCAAGCAAGAGACTCCAGTGGGCAATTTGAGTTCAGTTCTGATGAGGAACTCTGAAAGACATAGCAGACCAACTCTGCAATTAAGAGTTAGTCCAGCCGGGTGTGGTGGTTCATACCTGTGATCCCAGCACTTTGGGAGGCTGAGGTGGGTGGATCACTTGAGGTCAGGAGTTTAAGACCAGCCTAGCCATGATGGTGAAACCCCATCTCTACTAAAAATACAAAAAAAAAAAAAAAAAAGCCAGTCGTCGTGGTTCATGCCTATAATCCCAACTACTCGGGAGGCTGAGGCACGAGAATCACCAGAACCCAGCAGGCAGAGGCTGCAGTGAAGTGAGATTGCACCAATGCACTTCAGCCTGGGCGACAGAGTGCGAGCCTGTCTCAAAAAAAAAAAAAAGAGTTAGTCCAATTAAGGGGTAAGGAAACCCATCGTTGATTACGGTAGCTTCTGAACCCATTGGCTCTCTGGCACTACCAGCTTGCGCTGGGGGCAAGCTAAGCACACATCTACAGCCATAAATAAAGGTTTTGAAGCAGGGAATTGCAGCATTTGCAATATTTGCAGGTGTTTACCTTTGTCATTTAGAGGCGAGCAATGAGGGAATATGGGAAGGGTACCAACAGCATCTTCTACAGTAGCTTTTTATTTATGTACACATGCATGTATGAATTTTTTCATTCTGAATTTGATCAATATTTTCTAAAATGTGTAATATGATAGGCTACCAGCTTTGACAGGTAGAAGCCTTAAGCTATATCCTTCCTTATTTTTATTCTTTACATGCTATAAAGGACCATATTAGCCCATTTACAGAATATCCTTAACCTAGAGGATGATGTGGATTTATTTGTAGTAATTTAGAACTTGAATTGTTTGGCTCAGGTATCCCATAGATTATTCAATTCTGAAAGGGTTACAGAAACTTCCTTTCCCCAAATGCCTTGCACACTCCTACCTTCACATCTGTAATGTCATAAGAGCATTTCTTCTGTCTGCAATTTTAATAGAGGAACCATTAGCACAAAGGCTTTAAATGCACGTGGGAGCAATACTGTGGGAAGTTTCACTGCTGGCATAAGTTGTACAGACTTTATTCACACAATGAGTCACTGAGAACTCACCCACTGGAAGTTTTTAAGAAAGAATCAAAGCAGTGCTTTAGATTGATTGAAACAGTAGCTGTGTGCAGCCTACATAGAATAGGTAAGGAAAGGAAGCAGGAAGCGTGACTTGGAATTTATTTCAGTAGTTTCGACAAGGGGATCAAGGCCTCATTTAAGAAGGGATAGACACAGCTGTGTCTACAAACAATACAAAAATTAGCTAGGCATGATGGCACATGCCTGTACTCTCAACTACTCAGAAAGCTGAGGTGGAAGGATCACTGTAGCCCAGAAGGTTGAGGCTGCAGTGAGCTGTGATCAGGTCACTGCACTCCAGCCTTGGTGACAGAGCAAGGCCTTGTCTCAAAAACAAAAACAGAAACAACAAAAAAAGAAGGGGCTGGGCACGGTGGCTCACACCTGTAATCTCAGCATTTTGGGTGGCCGAAGAAGGTGAATCACTGGAGGTCAGGAGTTCAAGACCAGCCTGGCCAACATGGTGAAATCCCGTCTCTACTAAAAATACAAAAATTAGCCAAACATGGTGGCGGGCAACCGCAATTCCAGCTACTTGGGAGGCTGAGGCAGGAGAATCACTTGAACCTGGGAGGCAAAGATTGCAGTGAGCCGAGATCGTGCCATTGCACTCCAGCCTGGGTGACAGAGTGAGATTCCATCTCAAAAAAAACAAAAAAAAAAGGAGGATAGACAAAAGAGCCAGAAGAATTCACAGGGTTTAGTGATTAAATATGGTTTCAAGTCTGATTGATTCAGAGAATTGAAAGAATTTAAGAAAAATGTAAAGGAGGAAGAAAATTGAAAGTCAAAAAGGAAGAGATGGTTTTGGAGAGGGGACATTTTTACTTTGGGGAAAGCATCCAACATATAACTGAAAATATAGGTCTCTTTGGGAAGAGATAGGCTTCACCTATGTCTCTTGGAGGGGTACCTGGGTAGAGCCGCTAGCATGGAAGTACATAACTAAAATCATGGACTTGGGCGAATCTTCTAGAGATTGAACATAACGAACCATAAAACCACAAGAAATACCTCTGTTCAGGGAGTAGGAAGAAAAAAAAAATGCCAAAAAGGAGAGGTTACAGAGAAAGAAGAAAAACCAAAACAATGCAACATCAAGCCAAGTCAGGAGAATTTCAAGATGAAGAGCCCAGTCAACAGTTACTCCCAGCAAATGCCCAGTCTTGGATTTGCAAAGCACAGTGCATTGTATATTAAATGTTCTGAAAGTTCTGTAACAAGTAAAACTTTTTTAACTTTTTCAACCCAGAATTTCTCAAGTTCATGTGAACCCCTGGACTTTTATTTCTAACAAACCCCAAAACTGGTATATGGGCATGCTTTGGCAAATAAATGGTGTCTAAGCCAAAGCTAAGTCAGTAGAGGGGTAAAGCAGATTTCTGCCAGACTGGGGAAGGGTCAGTAAGGGCACAGCCCTCTCCTCACCTCCTGTGACACCAGCTCTTCCCCATGTGCCCTCACCTCCCTTGGCAGCTCCTCAAACACTGTTAACATCCCCAGACCCTAATGAAACTATTAGACCACCGATTATATCAGGAAGCAATTCTGGTCCACCACAGGGAGATATTTGAAAACATTTTAACGAAGCTATTTCATTTACTAGTCATTTCATTTTGCTCTGAATTGTTCCAACAGATTTAGCTGACTCTGGGGGTTTCAGAGGAACAAACTCACTGGGGAAAAGTAAAAGCCTCCTTTTTCCTCCTCTCTTGTATTGAGGCTGATAAGGTCAGAATTGAACCTGCGGGGAGTTGGAGTGAAGAAGCAAGAGCATCCCCTAGTGGCAGACTGCTCCAGGCCCTGGAGTCAGAGAACACCGTTAAGCTCTGGAGTTAAACCACTCAGGAGGGAGTGAAACACAGTGAATCTTCCTAGGCTCCCAGGCAAGTGCTTGCTAAGCTAATAAGTACTCCAGGTGATATTGCTTTTTCCATTTAAAATGTCACACTGTGAACAGTTTGAGAATGAAAAATGGCTGCCAAGCGATGCCTTATTCAAAGGAAGATTTCAATAAAATGATGATTATTAAATGCTTTATCATTACACATAATAAGTTGCTGTCTGTCTCTGCTGGAAGCACTGCATTAAATGCTGTGATTTGTGCATTAATTTAAAGTGAGGCTACTAGATTAATACTCTCTGTTGGTATCCAGTTCTTCATAAGAAAGTTGTTTAAGGTTTAAATATTTAGGAAATACAAGGTTTCACACTTCCCTTCTGGACAGACTTCTGGACAGGTGCCATTCTGCTTTTCCACACTGGGCAAGCCTTTGCCCTGGTGACCCTGATGGCTGCAGATGGCAAGAATCAAATTACAATCACGACGAGATAAGAAGTTTTGTCGTTATGGTTTTTAATAGCGACAGGCATTTGCTAAATTTAGGAGAAGGCCCAGATTTGTTTGAGTTTCTGAATGGCATCTGGGTTTTTCAGTTATTGCAATGCACATTGTAGCAGTAGCCTGCAAGTACAAGATACATTTCATTTGGCTTAAATTTGAATTAAGTCAAACAGCTCTGGGAAGGAAGACATAAAATACAAAGATTTCAGTGGTTCTGTAACTGCCTTATGTAAAGTCCTGTGGAGGAAGGGTGAAAAAGGACAAGGTCATTTATTTGATCTACACTTCAAACTTGTGGTGCCTAAATAGAAAGTTGTTTTTGTTTTCAGACCAAGAGCTCAGCATGCAATAGACGTAAAATAAAAATCAATCACTTAGAAAATGTCAGGTCACCCCATAGTTTTAAGATTTAACTCTTTAAACGATCTTAAAACAGATATGTTTTAATATCAGATTCATCACTAAATATTCCACAGGCCAAGAAAGAATAAATAATGTGGTTAAAAAAAGTAAAATCCTAGGCGGGTGGATCACAAGGTCAGGAGTTCGAGATACTCAGGAGGCTGAGGCAGGAGAACTGCTTGAACCCTGGAGACGGAGGTTGCAGTAAGCCAAAATCATACCACTGCACTCCAGCCTGGGTGACAGAGAGGGACTTCGTCTCAAAAAAAAAAAAAGTAAAATCCTGAATTGTGCAATCTCTTAAAATGTTTGTGAAAAAAATCTTAGTAGCCAGAGAAGAATAGTCATGAATATCTAACTAGAAACTTCTTAGGAGGAAAATTTTTCTAAAAGCAAAAAGAGTACTAATTTATATTTCCCTTGTTTGTTTTTTTTTTATTATTATTATTTTTTTATTTTTTTGAGACAGGGTCTCACTCTGTCACCCAGGCTGGAGTGCAGTGGTGTGACCACAGCTCACTGCAGCCTCAACCTCCTGAGCTCAGGTGATCCTCCCACCTTAGCCACCTCTTGAGTAGCAGGGACCACAGGCACATGCTACCATGTTCAGCTAATTTTTGTATGTTTTGTAGAGCTAGGGTTTCATCATGTTGCCCAGGTTGGTCTCACACTGCTGAATTCAAGTGAACCTCTTGCCTTGGCCTTCCAAAGTACTGTGGGCCTCTAGTTTGTGTTTCATTTATACAAATATGTGCTTTGAAAACAGATAATCCGGTTTCAAATCTTGGGCAGGTTTGTTAATCTCTCTGACGTTCTGTTTTCTTATCTGAAAGGTGAAAATCATATTATCTAACCCCTAAGGTTATTATATTAAATGAGATAGTCCAAATACAACAATTTGCATCATGCCCAGAATACAGTAAGCTTAGTCCAATAAATATGAACTAGTATGCAAATTATTATAAACAATCCAGCTGGGCACAGCGGCTTGCTCCTATAATCCCAGCATTTTAGGAGGCCAAGACAGCAGGATTGCTTGAGGCCAGGAATTCAAGACCACCCTGAGCAACATGGCAAGACCCCACATCTACAAGAAAATTTTAAAAATTATCCATGCATGGTGGTTGCATGCCTCTGGTCCCAGCTACTCAGGAGGCTGAGGTGGGAGGGTCACATGAGCCCAAGAGGTTGAGGCATCAGTAAGCCATGATTGTACCACTGCATTCCAGCCTAGACAACAAAGTGAGAACATGGCTCAAAAAAAAAAAAAAAAAAAAAATTGCCGCCGGGAACGGTGGCTCAAGCCTGTAATCCCAGCACTTTGGGAGGCCGAGATGGGCGGAGATCGAGACCATCCTGGCTTACATGGTGAAACCCCATCTCTACTAAAAAATACAAAAAACTAGCCAGGCAAGGTGGCGGGCGCCGGTAGTCCCAGCTACTCGGGGGGCTGAGGCAGGAGAATGGCGTGAACCCGGGAGGCGGAGCTTGGGTACAGTGAGCTGGGGATCTGGCCACTGTACCCACCAGCCTCGGCTATAGAGGCAGACTGTCAACGGTCTCAAAAAACAAAAAAACAAAAGGGCTGGCGCAGTGACTCACACCTCGTAAACACTTCTTCACCATCGCTTTGCGAGAGCGAAGGTGGTGGATCGACCATCTGAGGTCAGGAGCTCAAGACAGCCTACAGCCAACATAGTAACAAACCTGTCTTACTAAAATACAAATATAAGTTCGGCATGGTGGCGTGCATCGTAGTGCCAGCTACTTGAGAGGCTGAGGCAGTAAATCGCTTGAACCTGGGAGGTGGAGGTTGCAGTGAGCTAAGATTGCACCACTGCACTTCAGCCTGGGTGACAGAGTGAGACTCCATCTCAAAAAAATAAAAAATTTTTAAAAAGTGAAACAATCCAAAGAGTCATCAATGACGGATTGGTTAAATAATGTATAGCATGTACACACTTTTTTTTTTTTTTTTTTTTGCTTTGTTGCCAAGGTTGGAGTGCAGTGGCACCATCTTGGCTCACTGTAACCTCCACTCCAGGTTCAAGCTATTCTTATGCCTCAGCCTCCTGAGTAGTTGGGACTACAGGCATGTGCCACCATGCCAAGCTAATTTTTTTTGTATTTTTAGTAGAGACAAGGTTTCACCATGTCGCCCAGGCTGGTCTTGTACTCCTGAGCTCAGGCAATCCACCTGCCTTGGCCTCCCAAACTGCTAGGATTACAAGCTGGTGAGCCAGTGCGCCCAACCACAGCATGTACAAGTATTAAATGGAATATTATTCAGCTAAAAAAATGGAAGAAACACTCTATGCACTGATATGAAAAGATCTACAAAATATAGAGGTGAAAAAAAGGTACAGAACAGTATGGTATTTGGGGGTTAAAAGAAGGGAGGAGAATAAGAGCATATATTCTATTTGTTTGTATTTGCATGAAAAAAACTCTCACAGGATACACAAAGAAACTAATAAAAATTCTTATCTGAGGATTAATGTGGGAAGGAAACTAGGTGAAGAGATGAAAACAGAATGAATAGAAAAAGAGATGGAACTAAGACTTTTACTTTACACTATTTTGTAGTTTTAATACATTAAAGAATGTATTTCTGATTTTTAAAAAATAAAATTATTTAATTTTATTTTGTTAGCTTTTATTATTTTGTAATTCAAAGTACAAAAGAATAAGCATCATGGCTGGATGTGGTAGCTCACGCCTGTAATCCCAGCACTTTGGGAGGCCAAGGCAAGTGGATCACTTGAGGTCAGGAGTTTGAGACTAGCCTGGCTAACATGGTGAAACCCCGTTTCCACTAAAAATACAAAAAAAAAAAAATTAGCCAGGCATGGTGGTGCACACCTTCAGTCCCAGCTACTTGGGAAGCTGAGGCAGGAGAATCGCTTAAACCCAGGAGGTGGAAGTTGCAGTGAGACGAGATCACATCACTACACTCCACCCTGAGCGACAGAGTGAGACTCCACCAAAAAAAAAAAAAAAAAAAGTATCCTAATATATTCTTTGTCCTTTGATTGTTTGTTTGCTTATTTGTTTATTTGAATGAATCATGGGATACTGTAGGGATACACATAGCACTAAAAGAAACAGCAATCTTACTTACTAAAATGCTTCATGGTCACTGGGACCAAAAGGATGGTCTGGAAGGCAGATATAGTGATTCATATATCTTTACTTTAGTGCACCACCAGTCTATTTCTTTGATATTTATGTGACCAAGTTTCCAAATGCAAGCTCTCAAAGTGAGCATATGAGTAAACATCACTGCTCCTATGTAATTAAATATACATGAAATTTAATAAATTACCCAGACTCACAAAGAAATTGGTTCCATTCTCTTCTTGCTCCTTTTCATCTTCTACTGATGTGGGCCTGTTTCTGGAAAGAAATTGTGGCTTGCCAAAAAAGGCATCAAACAAATCTTGTCTCAAATTTAGAGTTCACAATCTGCTATCTGTATTATCCTCAAAAGCCTCAATTTTCTTACATAAAAAAGGATAATGAAACTTTTTATAGGATTGATGAGATTCAAGATATATAAAAAACATACTACATCATCCTGAGCACATATAGGCTCCACACTCATGAACAATAAATGAGTTTCTTTTAAATATGCATAAGTAAACGTGAGCCAAAGACAAAATTTTATCAAAACAGTTTTTTTTTTATTATACATTAAGTTCTAGGGTACATGTGCACAACATTCAGGTTTGATACATAAGTATACATGTTTCATGTTGGTTTGCTGCACCCATCAACTCATCATTTACATTAGGTATTTCTCCTAATGCTATCCCTTCTCCAGCCCCTACCCCCAACAGGCCCTGGTGTGTGATGTTCCCTGCCCTGTGTCCAAGTGATCTCCTTGTTCAATTCCCACCTATTAGCAAGAACATATGGTGTTTGGTTTTCTGTCCTTCTGATAGTTTGCTGAGAATGATGGTTTCCAGCTTCATCCATGTCCCTGCAAAGGACAAGAACTCATCCGTTTTTATGACTGCATAGCATTCCATGGTGTATATGTACTATATTTTCTTAATCCAGTCTATCATTGATGAACATTTGGGTTGGTTCCAAGTTTTTTTTGTTAAGAATATTGCCGCAATAAACATACATGTGCATGTGTCTTTATGGTAGCATGATTTATAATCCTTTGGGTATATACCCAGTAATAGGATTGCTGGGGCAAATGGTAATTCTAGTTCTAGATCCTTTAGGAATTGCCACACTGTCTTCCACAATGGTTGAACTAATTTACACCCCTACCAATAGTGTAAAAGCGTTCCTATTTCTCCACATCCTCTCCAACATCTGTTGTTTCCTGACTTTAATGATTGCCATTCTAACTGGGGTGAGATGGTATCTCATTGTGGTTTTGATTTGCAATTCTCTGATGGCCAGTGATGATGAGCATTTTTTCATGTGTCTGTTGGCTGCATAAATGTCTTCTTTTGAGAAGCGTCTGTTCAAATCCTTTGCCCACTTTTTGATGGGGTTGTTTGTTTTTTTCTCTTAAATTTGTTTGAGTTCTTTCTAGGTTCTGGGTATTAGCCCTTTATCAGCTGGGTAGGTTGCAAAAATTTTCTCCCATTCTGTAGGTTGCCTGTTCACTCTGATGGTAGTTTCTTTTGCTGTGCAGAAGTTCTTTAGTTTAATTAGATCCCATTTGTCTATTTTGGCTTTTGTTGCCATTGCTTTTGGTGTTTTAGTCATGAGGTCCTTGCCTATGCCTATGTCCTGAATGGTATTGCCTAGGTTTTCTTCTAGGGTTTTTATGGCTTTAGGTCTAATATTTAAGTCTTTAATCCATCTTGAATTAGTTTTTGTATAAGGTATAAGGAAGGGATCCAGTTTCGAATTTCTACATACAGCTAGCCAGTTTTCACAGCACCATTTATTAAATAGGGAATTCTTTCCCCATTTCTTGTTTTTGTCACTGGCCAAAGACTGGAGTGGTTGGAGTGGCAAGCATATGGTCTTTGCAAAGTGAAAGAAGCATGATATTTTGGAGGCCATTGGAGCGACTTGGGTTCCAGGAATTGCAAACGCAACGAAGACCAATTGGGCTGACTGTGGACACTTGAAATAAGTTTGACTTTGCTATTTATCTTAACCAGAACCATTCTTGCGTAGCTCAGAGAGCAACCCTCCACCCATTTGCTCCAGTATCCTAGAATCTTGTGCATCTCACTGCAGTTCCCTTTGGTATCCATGTTTTTCCTTGTTCCTCGTCCATGCTAGCTGGATTGACCAAGTTAAGTTATGATTTGAAATAAAACCTAATACAATTGTCCAAAAAAAAAAAAGGAGTTCCTGAAGGAAGCATAAACATGGAAGGAACACTGGTACCACCACTGTCGGAAAACACTGCAAATTGAAACCAATGTGCATGCCTACAAACTGCAGCAATTACTGGCGGCAAAATACAGCCAGCTAAATCTAATGATAGGATGAAAGTTCACATCAACAAATATGAACCTTAATGTAGGCTAAATCCCCATTAGCCAGACTGGGCAATTGGATTAAAGAAGTCAAGATCCATTAGTGTTCGTTTTCAGGAGGACCCATCTCACGTGTAAAGATGCACGATAGGCCTCAAAATAAAGGGATGGAGGAAGAGTCCCACCAGGCAAATGGAAGCAAAAAAAGCCAGGGGTTTGCCAATCTAGTCCTCTGATAAAACAGATCTTAAAACCAACAAGAATCAAAAAG